TCCCAGGTCGTTTGGTCCTCATCTCCGCCACCGACCACCAGTTCCTCCCCGCCAGGTCCTGTCCACTAGTCTTCGACCCAATGTCAAACCAATGGTTCTTCGGCCCACCACTGCCCATCCCACGGCAGTGGTGCGCCGTCGGCTCAGCCGGTGGCTCAGTCTACATTGCAAGTAGTATCGGCTCACATTACGACAGTGATGTCGCGAGGTCTGTCGAGAAATGGGACATGAAGAAGAAGATTGAGTGGAACTGGGAAAAAATGGCTGGTCTGAAAGATGAAAGGTTTAGCAGAGAAGTTGTGGAAGTTGTTGAGTATAGAGAGGGAAGCTTTGTATGATGAATGTGTGTTGGAGCTATTGACTTGGTCTGCAACGTGATAGCTAAATAATAGGTAGGAGTTGTTATTTAAACTGTTAAGTAAGCTAGTTTGTAGGAGTTGATTTGTTCAATTTTGTTTAGATATGTTTTTCTTGTATTTCGATTTTTCTGTTTGTAAGGCTTTATAAAAGCCTCAGTTATTTTTCTACTTGAAAGAATAAGGATTATCAGTTTCCTTTATTTGGTATCAGAGCGAGCAAGGACCTGATAAAAGAAACATACAATTTGAGTGTTTGAGAGGAAAAACACGAAAACAGGAAATGGCAACTGATTCAGGAAGCTTCACAACACCATGTGTTCCAAAATTCGACGGAGACTACGATCACTGGAGTTTGATTATGGAAAATCTCCTGCGTTCTAAGGAATATTGGAGCGTTATTCAATCTGGTTTCGAAGAACCAAAGGGAAACGAAGCTGTAGACACAGCCCAACAAAAGTCAATCGACGAAGCAAGACTCAATGATCTCAAAGCAAAGAATTATCTCTTTCAATCCATAGATAAGAGTATCTTGAAAACCATCACTCAGAAGGAGACTGCCAAGCAATTGTGGGATTCAATGAAAGTCAAGTATCAGGGAAGTGCTAGAGTGAAGCGGGCTCAGCTGCAATGACTTCGCAGAACATTTGAAACTCTAGAAATGAAGTCAGGAGAAGATGTGTCTGAGTATTTTGCAAGAGTTATGTCTACTGCTAATGACATGAGGAATTGCGGAGAAGATATGCCCGATGTCAAAATCGTTGAGAAAATATTTCGGAGTCTCACAGAAAAATTCAACTTCGTAGTATGCTCAATTGAGGAATCCAAAGACATTGACAAACTCACAGTAGATGAATTACAAGCATCTTTGCTTGTACATGAACAAAAGGTGATTGAGAAGAGGAGTGAAGAGCAAGTTCTACAGGTGGAGAATGAGCCAAGGAATGCACAAGGAAGAGGCAGAGGGACATTTCAGAGAGGAAGAAGTCACCTTAGAGGACGGGGAAGAGCTAGGCCTTTTGTCAACAGGTCAGCCATTAACTGCTTTCGATGTGAAAAGTAAGGACATTATCAATTTGAATGCTCAAGCTCAGAAAAGGGAGTCGTCAACTATGCTGAATTTGACGAGGAGGAAGAACTACTCTTGATGGCGCACACAGAAGTCAGTAAAGCTGAAGGAAAGGGCATTTGGTTTCTCGATTCCGGGTGCTCAAATCATATGACAGGAGACAAAACCTGGTTTATTAAGCTCGATGAAAATTTCAAACACTCTGTCAGATTGGGAAATAGTTCGAAAATGGCAGTTGAAGGAAAAGGCAGCGTCAGATTTGAAGTAGAAGGTATCACACAAACCGTGTCAAATGTGTACTATGTTCCTAATCTCACCAACAATTTGCTAAGCATAGGCCAGCTACAGGAGAAGCGCTTGGTGATCTTAATTAAAGAAGGAACCTGCATAATCTATCATCAACAAAGGGGCCTGATAATAAACACACAAATGACTGCAAATCGCATGTTCCTGGTTTATGCGAAGATGAAGCCGTTGCCTGGTAACTGCTTGAAGATGGAAGAAGAAGACTTGGAGATTCTCTGGCACAGGAGATATGGGCACTTAAACAACAAGTCTATTCAAATTATGCAACAGAAACAAATGGTGAAAGGACTGCCAAAATTAAAAGAAGCAGACAAAGTTTGCAAAATATGCAATGTGGGAAAGCAGCAACGACAAAAATTTCCAAAGAAAAGCAAGTGGAGGAGAGCATCAAATAAATTGGAATTAATTCATGGAGATCTTTGTGGACCAATCACTCCAATCTCCCACAGTGGTAAGAGGTATTTGTTGGTGCTTGTAGATGATTTCTCTCGGAAAACATGGATTTATTTTCTTGCAGATAAATCAGAAGTTTTTGAAACATTCAAAAACTTCAAAAACCTTGCTGAAAAAGAAGCAAAAACAGCCATATGTGGATTCAGAACTGACAGGGGGGGAGAATTCACATCAAATGAATTCAACAAATTCTGCAAAGATAATGGCATAAGACGACAACTAACAGCAGCTTACACTCCACAGCAAAATGGAGTCGCAGAAAGAAGGAATCAGACCATCATGAACATGATACGATGTCTGTTGTCTGAGAAGGAGATGCCGAAATCGTTGTGGCCAGAAGCAGCTAGATGGACAACTCATGTTTTGAATCACAGTTACACAAAGGCAGTCAAGGACATGGTACCTGAGGAGAGGTGGACAGGAGTAAAACCAAATGTAGAATACTTCAGAGTATTCGGTTCGATTGCACATGTGCACGTCCCTAAACAAAAGAGAATTAAGCTTGATGATCGAAGTCACAAATGCATTTTGCTTGGAGTTAGTGACGAATCTAAGGCCTATCGTTTGTATGATCCGGTGACGAAGAAAATAATCATAAGCAGAGATGTCATATTCGAAGAAGGTGGAAAATGGGATTGGAACCTGAGTACAACAGAGGCAAAGCAGAATGTGTTGGCTTGGGGAGACGATGATGATATTGCCATAGAAGAGTCTGAAGGAGAAGAGACTGATGGAGAACCTAATGAAGTAGAAAACGGCAGTTTAGAAGCAATTCCAGAAACTGAGGAATCTTCACCAGAATTTCCACAACAGACAAGAAGAAGGAGAGAGCCCGTTTGGATGCGCGACTACGAAACTGGTGAACGCTTGTCTGAAGAAGAAGAATCAAATGAAAGCTTGGCTTTTCACATCTCCAACGATGATCCAATAAACTTTGACGAAACGGTGAAAGAAAAAAGGTGGCAGGAGGCCATGAAGCTTGAAATTCAAGCTATTGAGAGAAATCAGACCTGGGAGTTTGTGCCATTGCCACATCGAGCAAAGAAAATTGGTGTCAAATGGGTTTTTAAAACGAAATTAAATGAAGAAAGCAAAGTAGACAAATGTAAAGCTAGACTCGTTGCCAAGGGATATTCACAAAAAGCAGGAGTAGACTGCAATGAAGTGTATGCGCTAGTAGCACGATGGGATACAATCAGAATTCTGTTGGCACTGGTAGCTCAACGTGGATGGTGCATCTATCAACTTGACGTTAAGAGTACTTTCTTGTACGGTGAATTGAATGAGGAGGTTTATGTTGACCAGCCAGAAGGGTTTTTCAAAAGGGGAGAAGAAAACAAGGTGTATCGGCTGAAGAAGGCTCTCTACGGTTTAAAGCAAGCTCCATGGGTCTGGTTTAGCAAAATCGAGAGTTATTTCAAGAAGGAAGGATTTGAGAAAAGCAATTACGATCACACCTTGTTCTTGAAGAAAAATGGAGATAAATTGTTGCTGGTAAGTCTTTATGTTGATGATTTGATTTACACAGGAGATGATGAGCATATGTGCACAAATTTTAAGTCGTCAATGCAGAAGGAGTTTGAGATGACAGACTTGGGAAAAATGAAGTTCTTACTTGGAGTTGAAGTCTATCAAAACAAAGGAGGAATTCATCTGTGCCAAAAGAAGTATGCTAAGGAAGTCTTGGAAAGGTTTAATATGTGGAATTGCAATGCTGTAAAGAATCCAATAGTTCCTGGCACTGTCTTGTCAAAGTTAGGCAGCAAAAATGCTGATGCAACACTGTACAAACAACTGGTAGGATGCTTAATGTACCTAACGGTAACTCGTCCTGATTTAATGTTTGTGGTATGTTTGATTTCTCGTTATATGGCTGATTCTAAAGAAGAACATATGATGATTGCTAAAAGGGTACTGAGATATTTAAAAGGAACATTGGATTTTGGAGTCTATTACAAAAGGAGCACAGATATAAATCTGCTGGGATACACAGACAGCCACTATACAGGAGATGAGAATGACAGAAATCTGCTGGGATACACAGACAATGACTATGCGCGAGATATAGACGATAGGAAAAGCACTTCAGGCTATGTTTTTCTTCTAAGTGGAGCAACAATATGCTGGAGTTCAAGGAAGCAAGGAATTGTCACTCTATCATCCACAGAAGCTGAATATGTGGCTACCACTGCATGTGCATGTCATGGAATTTGGCTTAAAGGAATTCTGAAGGAGCTGGGCATCAAAAACTATGAGTGCATTAATATTATGTGTGATAATAGTTCAGCAATTAAGTTGTCAAAGAACCCAGTTATGCATCGAAGGACAAAACATATTGATGTTAGATACCATTACTTGCGCAATCTATCAATTGATGGAGCTGTGAGGTTAATTTTTTGTGGAATTAAAGATCAAGTGGCAGACATAATGACTAAACCAATTAAGTTGGACCAATTTGTGAAACTCAGAAGCTTGCTTGGTGTTCGACGACTTGAGGAGTAAACTGATGCTGATTCAGCATATTTCAATTTACGGGGAGGAATTTGTTGGAGCTATTGACTTGGTCTGCAACGTGATAGCTAAATAATAGGTAGGAGTTGTTATTTAAACTGTTAAGTAAGCTAGTTTGTAGGAGTTGATTTGTTCAATTTTATTTAGATATATTTTTTTTGTATTTCGATTTTTCTATTTCTAAAGTTTTATAAAAGCCTCGGTTATAACTTGAAAGAATAAGGATTATCAGTTTCTTTAATGTGAAGGGTCATGCAGTAAAACAAGGGGCTGTGTACGACGTGGAAAAAGACCGGTGGGAGGACATGCCGGAGGGGATGATCGGAGGGTGGAATGGGCCGGCGGCGATGGGTGGTGAAGATAGGTTGTATGTGGTGGATGAGGCAAACTGTGTTCTGAGCAAGTATGATTCAGAGAATGACTCATGGGAAGAGGTGGTTGACTCGCCGGAGATTCTGAGAGGTGCTCAGCAGATAACCGCCGGGCGGGGGAGAGTTTGTGTGGTTTGTGGGGGTGGTGAGCGGATTGCGGTGGTGGACGTGATGGCGACGCCACCGAGGATTTGGATGGTAAATCCGCCGGAAGGAAGGGAAGTTGTTGCCGTTCATATATTGCCGAGGATGAGCTTGCCAGAATGGTGATGACCACTTTTTTTTTTTTTTTTTCATTTTATGTGGTGTTCATGCTTTCGCTAATTATACTTTGTCCAGTTTAACATTGACTACGCCCTCAGGTTCTTTGTCGAGTTTAACGCCGATTATTTCTTCGAATTTAGATATGAATTATCGTAGTTCGAGGTGGCATAGAATATATCTCTCTAACTAATTGTTAGGGGGAGTTTGGAAGAATTAAACTTTGAAACCTTTTGATTATCGAATTCAAATTCATACATCAAATCACCATAAGGGTTGATAATTACCACCTCGGGTTAGTTGCAAAAGGAGAGAGTTTGTCACAGACGAGTTTTGGTACATTGATAAAGTTATTTCATTTTATCACAAATTCGAATTATGCAAATTGGGTGATATAAATTGTCTATGTTTAACTCTCTCCGATTCTGCAATTGCATGAGCAGGGTATGTCTTTTTTAAAAAAAATATTCAAAATTGATGGATTGGGATTAATTAATTTTTTTTAGAATAAAAAATTACTCAAAATAAAAAATTCAAATATGAATAACTAGATTTTGAGGAGATAAATTTGATAAAAATATATTATATAAATAAAATATTTGGTTCTTGACTTCTTTCTAATCTTTTCTTGTTTACTGATCCTATATATTATAAATGAGTCTTTATAGAATTAGAGCATTTTTCTATGTTGACTTTGTTAAATATGAATCAAGTAGGGTTTAAATTCATAAAAAGTTCTTCTTTTTTTTTTTTTTGTCAAGAAATTCATAAAAACATTCTGGGCGGCAAGTTTTGTTTGAGAAAACAAAGGGATTTTTGTCTCAAGTATCATGTTGAGGGATTGTGGATGTTAATTAATTTGAATATGACAAAAATTAAATTCCAAAGGGTAGTACAATAGATATAGTTGTAAATGTTACGAAAAATTTATCAGTCATGAATTTTTTATTCGAACTAAAAAAGAAAAGTAATCAAGGCGTGTGAATATTAGTCCGAACATTCTTTTTTTTTATTCTAAATTTGGGATCCTAAATAGAAACCCAAATGAATAGGAATATTTAAATGAATTGGGTCACTAAAAAAAGTTACAACAATGCTACATCCATCAAATTTTTTATTAAATTTTGAATACCAAATTAATGTAAACCACAAGATCGAGGAAATATTCGTTATAACGGTAATATTACATGACAATGTAAGCAAATAACTTATCATTTTTCCTCTGTATAAGTCTAAGTGGAGTTCACTTTATCCACTTGAAATTTTATTATTTATTAGTGATATCATGTCACTAATAATATTTACTCTACAGGATCAATAAATCTCATAAATTCTTGCTAACTATTCAATGGCTATTATTGTAACACATTATTTGAGATTTAAAAATTTGATAAAAATTTTGGTGAATATATTATTTTCCAAAAAATTAATCGGACCCGCTAATTTAAGGATAATCGGACCCATTAATCTAACAATTTCTATTCATTTAAATTCCATTGAAAATCTAAAATTTAGAATCCCAAAAATTACTCATTATAATTAGCAACCCTGCACTTTAAGCAGCAGAAAGTGGGTGGTCATCATTCACAGCTAGCTTTTGTTCATAGCATGCGCGTTCACAAAGGCAGGCACATGTGTAGCTCGTGATTTTTTTATTTTTTTTTAAGTTTCAACGGTAAAGAGTGTTCGCTCAGTATATACGTATCTTTATTCTTATTCAAGACATTAACACTCCTTATTATTTTTGACATTTTCACTAAATCACCTGCTGTTTACACAATTACATTGACCTCCCCTAAGATGTGACAGATTATAACAGGAACCCTCTTCAAGAAACAATCAAAAGGTCTGTCATGGAGTAAACAAACCTTTCGACTTAAACTTCCTATTTTGTCATCAATTTTAAAAAATATCTATTAAACATAAATACATATGTTATAAACATTTCAACAACAGTAAATAAATATTCTTATTTACAAAAACATGAAACATTTTGCAGTGATTGTGTAAACAATGGGGAGTGCAGTGAAAATGTGAGAAACGTCAAGGAATGTAAATGTAATTTTCCACAGGTAGACAAATGAGTTCTTTCCAGATTCCTACGCTATCTGATCTAGCTTTTTAAGCAACTTGTCAGCCATCGGTCACAGCAAAACTTTTTGGGGGTAACACTACGATACCGCTAAGCTACGTTTTGGTCATCTACGAGTGACACATGTTTTTTTAAAACTTATTAAAATCGATATAACCGATTATTTTCGGTAGTAGCTATAAGACGTATAGTTAGCCAAAACAGTTGTAAGTCCAATTGTAATCCATTCATTAAATTTGTACCAAATAGAATTGTACTCGATAACCCAATTATTAATATCAGTTATATATTTAAGGAAAAATTATTTTACTTTTACTTTGCCTATGTATTTTATTAGGGGTGTCAATTTTTTGACTCGAATTGAACCCGACACGAATCCGAAAATTATATGATTCATTGACACAAGTAATAAATGGGTATTGTAGATAGAAAATTATTATTTAATGAGTATTTTAGATAAAAAAAATAAGAATTTTATAATTTTTTAAATAATATTATATTAATCGTTGTCAAATTAAATAATTTTTTATTAACACGACCGAAAGTGACACGACACAAAACCGATACCACACCCTTATATTTTATCTTCAAAAAAAATAATAGTTGTGAAATAAAAATATTAGTTGAAAGAACAAAATAAAAATATTGTTATACTTCATGGGTGTAAGTGTAATTTAATTAAGACCGGTCCTGGGAATAGAAGACCGATCCTGTATTACATATTATACTTTTATCATTTAATATTATACTTTTAATCTTTTTATATTACACTTTTAACCTTTTAATATTATAATTTCATCAAATTAACATCTGAAATCATTCAATAAATATTCAATTTATCACATCAATATCAAACATGCAATTTTATCCAATTAAAACTCAATTCATCAAATTTATACAAAATTAACATTCAATTTTTCAAATCAACATTTAATTTTACCTAATAAACATATAATTCATTAAATTAACATTAAAATTCAACTAATAAACATTTAATTCGTTACATTCAATCTCATCTAGTTTATATTCAAATTCATTCAATTTATAAAATTAACATAAAAAGTTCTTAAAAAAAGATTTTTTTTTCAGAAAGTAAATTGTATTAACAGAGAACCAAGTATACAAGGGGAATACCCAAATGTACAAACCCAAAAAGCCAAAACCCCAAAACACAAGTCTGTAGGATGCTCTGATTGAAGGTATCCTCCATATGCAATCCAAAAGAAATGATCCAGTTGGGTCAAAACCCCAGTTGCAGCAGTAAGCTGAAGAGGCTCCAAATAGGAATTAAATCACCCTAATGCAGCCTAGCAAGCCAATCAACAGTCAACATAAGAGACTCCATCGGGGAACAAATAGCAGGGACATCCCCTCCAACAGAAACCAAATGCAGGGAAGCAAGAGAGGAAGAGCCATCCATCAACATAATATCATTTATACACCATGGTCCAATTTTTTTATTTCCTTCCCATTGATTGTCTTCAGACAATCCTTGCTATAATCAAAACATGCATCGATTAGATCATTTGAATAAAAAATAAGATCAACACTAATAATTTAGCCTTTAGATTAAAAAAAATCTCTCACTAGTAAAAAAATCAAGAGGTTGTTGGGCGAGATGACTTAATATCTTCAGCTACAACTTCATGTTCCTTCTTCACCATAATAGCTTCATCTTCATGTTCCTTTTTCACCCTAAACATAAAATAAATCATTAACCACAGAAAATGGCTTCACCATATAAATTACGCTATTAACTACAAAAAAATTGTTCACTTACATTATATTTGAACGAGTGGATCACCAATGGAGGATTATCAAGTTCACCCAAAAAAAAAGTAATTGAGTATTACAATACTCGTTCTTGTTGAAGACGATACAAAACTTAAACCAAATAAACAAATAATTTTTGTACAGTGAAAGAGATGAAGGGAAGGCAAGAGGAGTAACAGCTTTTAGGCGAGAAAGTGGTTGGAGGGAGAGATAAGGTTTTTGTGATTTGTGGAGCACAATATTCGGTTAGAAAATAAAAAATTAATATATTGTAATATGTGGCGTGTAAGTGTAATTTATAATGTGAATATTATGACTGATCCTGGGTAAATATCACATTTTTATCCCTGTTATCCCTTAACTATCACATTTTTATCCCTTAAATAATCAAAAAAATTTCCAAAAATATTCAATTTTTTATAAATAGTCCCATTTTTTATTAACAACAAATAAATAATGAATAAAATCAAGAATTGTAAAATAATACTTCCAACTTATAATATTTTTGAATTGGGTTCCAATTTTTTTGTGACTCCCATTCGACTAGATCAAAAAAATCCTACTATCCACAAAATATTCAATATTTTTTAAATAGTCCCATTTTTTATTAAAAATAAAATCAAATAATTAAAAGAATTCCAACTTATTTACTTGGTTAGTTTTAACTTTTTTGGTTAGGGTTCAATTTTTTTAGGTAGGAGTTCCAATTGAACGTTTTTGGAGGTTCCAACTCTTGGGTGGGTTGTAATAATAGGTTCTGGGAGGTTCCAACTGGATTCCAACTTATTGTGGTAGAGGTTCTAATTAGGGTTCTAACTTTTTGGCCACGGTTCCAACTTTTTGGGGTGGTTCTAACTTTTTGGTTAGGGTTCCAACTATTTTGGATAGGGTTCCAACTTTTTTGGATTGGATTCTAACTATTTTGGGTAGGGGTTACAACTTTTTCAGTTGGTGTTCCAAACTATTTTGGGTACGACTTCCAACTTTTTGGTAGAGGTTCCAATTCTTGTGGGCGAGTTCCAATTTTTTTGAATTGGGGTTACAACTCTTTTGGTGGTTTCAACTTTTTTGAGGTTCCAACTCTTAGGGGGTTCTAACAGTAGTTGGGGGAGGGTTTCAATTTTTTTGATTAGAGTTCGAACTT